GAAGCTGATGCCCAGCTCCTGAATTTGCTGTCGCTGCTTGAGCCCAAGGGTCATGGATAGGCTCACCTCTTCCACACCACCGTTGTTTTTTCCGTCATAGTAGACTCCTTCAGGCCACTCAGTGCATCTCTCTCCTGGGCTGTAAACTGGAGAAGCTTGATTTCTCAGGAATAAAAGGGCTTTAGAGAATTAACATGGTATACTTTAGGTTTTAGGGTAGGGTCTGGGTAATTAACAGCTCCCAGATGCTCTTGGACCATAAATGAACCCTCCCACAATGCTTCCATCTTACTGGCCTGGAGCGCTTTCAGGACCATAACTTGGTCACCTACTCTGAAGGAATGCTCTCTGCATGTTTATCATACCAAGCCTTTTGCTCTTGCTGAGCATCCTGTAGGTTCTCTTGAGCAAGGGCTTGAGAGTCCTTGAGGGTGTTTTGCAGGTTGGTCACAAAGTCCAAAATGTTAGTTCCTGGAGAAGATGTAACTCCCTCCCACTGCTGCTTCACCAACTGTAATGACCCCTTAACTTCGCGGCCATAAACTAGTTCAAAGGGTGAAAATCCCAAACTGGATGTGGTACAGCCCTGTTGGCAAAGAGCAACCGCTGCAACACTAGGTCCCAATCACTGGAGTGCTCATTCATGAATTTACTTATGGCCCCCAAAGTCCAATTAAACTTTTCTACTAGGCCACTCGTTTGATGGTGGTAATGGGTGGCAACCAAGCGGTTCACCCCATGAGCTTCCCAAAGACATTTCATGGTCCCTGCCAGGAAGTTAGTTCCCAAATCTGTAAGGATGTTGGAGGGCCAACCTACCCTAGCAAAAATGTCTGCCAATTCCTGGCTGACGCTTTTAGCCATGTTGTTGCTTAGAGCTACTGCTTCTAGTCATTGGGTGGCAAAATCCATGAAAGTCAGTATCTACAGCTTTCCTCTGGGTTTCTTCTTAGGGAAAGGACCCAGAATATCCACAGCTACATGCTGAAATGGAACCTCAATGATGGGGAGTAGCTGGAGAGGGGCCTTGACCTGGTCTTGGGGCTTTCCTACCCTCTGGCACACCTCACAAGACTGGATAGAGGTAGAAACATCCTTGCCCATTCCCTCCCAGTGGAATGACTTCCCCACGGTCCTTGGTCGTGTTCACCCCAGCATGGTCACTAGGGTGATCGTGGGCTAAGCTCAAGAGCTTTTCCTTATACTTAGCTGGAACTATCAACTGTCTCTGAGGATGCCAGTTCTCTTTGTGCCCACCAGAAAGAGTCTCCTTGTGTAAGAGTCCTCCTTCTATAATAAACCTGGACCTGTTAGAAAAGCTGAGAGGTGGTGGGTCGCTCTGTGCCGTCGTCCACAACTCCTGTGAGTTTCTCATCCGCTTCCTGCTCTACCTGGAACTGTTTCCTTGATGCGGGAGACATTAGTTCCTCGCTGGGTTGTGGACTTGGGCTTAGTCCCATTGGAAGCAATGCAAGTGATGGGGTTGTTTCCGTTGATTGTGAACCGCTCTCCGCTGTTGCACTAGGTGGTATTTCAGTCTCCAGTTGAGCCTCTTGCGCTGGTCTAGCTGCTGCTGCAGTGTAGGTTCTGTGGCGTCCTTTGGTACTGGCTCCCCTGACTCTGGTGGGGTTGCAAGCACGGGCTCTGGTACTGACTGCTCCTCCAGTTCGATATTTGGGCTGGTTCTGGCTGGGTTCCTGGAACTGGATTTACAACTGCTGCCACAGATTCTGGTCTGGAGTCTCATTCCACCACCTCTGGCTGGGTTTCTATAGGAGGCTCAGAAATGGCACATGGTGTTGTCCTGGGGTGATTAGGCGTCATGAATAGTGAGGATGTGTAGATGATGTGCTTTGTGCCTGTCCCAAATGTAAGGGGGGGTAGGAAGGGAAGGTGTAGTCTTCCTCTTCTTTCTCATGGGGGAAGGATGGTGCCATCCTCGGAGGGGAAAGGGAGCAGTGCTGTGACTCCAGAGAAGAGAACAGAGGTGGAGGGAGCTCATGTCCGAGTACTTGTGACTCAGGCAGGTCAGATACAAGTAGGTCCTTGGGGTATCTGACCTCCTGGAGAGGAGAAAGCCCCATCACCAGATGCAATCGATGCTGAGGGAAAGGTGCATTCTCTTGAGCAGCCAGCAGATGGAGATGAGGATTTGCTCGGTGCCAAGGGTTTGCTCAGTGCTGGAGGCTGAACCAGTGACACGAGCATGGCCAGTGCCGCATGTTTTGTTGGTGCCGAAAGCGATGTCAGTACTGACAGAGCTGCCAGTGCCAGTGGTTTCGTTGGTGCCATGACACACAAAGTTGATCTGGTCGGGGCAGTCAGCACTATTTTTTAAGGTCTTGCATTGCGGTCTCTGGTGCTGAGAGATGGTGCTGATGCCTGCAGGTCTGCTCGTTTAGCACCTTTAGACATATGTTTAGCTGCGATACTGTAGGTACTCGGACAGTCTCTGGAGCTATATCTCATATCCGAAACTGATCTTGCAGGGAATGATGTTCTGGCAGGCAGTGAGCAATGAGGGGGCTTGTTTCTTCCTGTCAGCACGGGGAAAAGATGTGCTCTTAGAATGACTTGGCGAATGAGGATCAGTGGATGAGCTAGCAGAGTGTGAGAACCGTGCAGCGGAAGCATCTGGTACAGGGTACAATGCTGTACTCGGTGAGAAGTCTCAGCCAAAATGTCTTGATCTTTTCTGGCCCTGGCAGTCAGGTTGAAGCAATGTGTACACTTCTGCGGGACATGTCCTTCTCCCTGGCAGTGGATGCACTGTGGGTGACTGTCGCTTACCAGGAAGGCCTCCTGGCAGGAAACACACCACTTAAACTCAGGAGATCTGAGCATAAGGACGAGGGAGAAAGTTTCCCAATCAGGAAGGACGGGAAACAGGAAAACAAAATGTTAAGCTATGAACTAACAGGGAGGATAAGAGGAAGGAAACTTTTTTTTTTTTTAAATAAAGGTAGAGGGTGATAAAGGAAAGTATTAACTACTAAACTACACTAAAAACTAACAGGTAAGGCACTATCTAACAATTCAAAGGATAGGTAGGCTCTGCTGCGGATTCCATCCCAGACCAAAGGCAGTTTAAAAGGAACTGGGAGGCAGCTGGACTGCACAGTGCTGTATGTACACATGCCACTCACGGTGCGAGATGGGGAGGTGCGCACGTGTGGTCCAACCAGCATTGCTAATGAAGATCTCTAATCCCAGACAGGGGACACTGACACACCTACAGTGGAGCACCCAAAAGGGACATCATTCAAAGAAGAACTTTTTTTTTTTAAAACCTAAATAGTTATACTGGTACAACCCCAACTGTGAAAACAGTTTTAAGGCACCTTTAATACCAGTGTAACTCATCCACAGTCAGGGAGGGAGGCTGTACCACTTTACCTATACGGATATAAAAACACAAAGAAAGTATTTTTCCACATTACAAATGCTTTGCCAGTACAGCTATAACAGCACAGCCTCCTAGCACAGATGCAGCATGACGACAGTAGGAGGAGTTCTGCCAGCATAGTAACACCACCTTCTTGAAGGACATTAGCAGTGCTGTATGTAATGCTGTTGCAGCCGTGTTGGTCCCTGCTGAATATTAAAGAGACAAGGTGAGTGAGGTCAGATCTTTTATTGGACCAACTTCTGTTGGAGAAAGAGACATTTCAAGCTTACACTGAGGTCTGGGAAATGTATAGAGCGTCACAGCTAAATACAAGGTAGAACAGATTGTAACTACTTTTGATAAACACACATTTCAAGGGTCCTTCAAAATGAAGTGCCCAGTTAACTCTCCAGTCATAAGGAGGAGGAGAGGGGAGGCGGGGAAACTGGGTGGAGGGTTTAAATGGGTTACAGATTGTTGTAACAAGCCATAAATTCATTGTCTCTATCTAGTCCATGATCTTTTGTATGCAAAGTTATGCATACAAAAGTTATGAATTTAAGCTCCAAGGCCTGTCTTTTGAAGGTGTTAACGCCAACCTTTCCCCCACACCCACTCATTTTTTCCCCTATGACTGGAGAGGTGTTAACAGTCCACTTCACCTTGAATGGTTCCTTCAAAATGTGTGTTGACTATTTATTCTAATCAATCTTTTCCACTTTGTATTTAGCTGTGACACTTTGTACATTTCCTAGACCTGAAGAAGAGCTCTGTGTAAGCTTGAAAGCTTGTCTCTCTCACGAGCAGTCCAATAAAAGACATTACCTAACCCATCTTGTCTCTCTAATTAGCTACGTTCACAGAAGCACTCTTCTGTGGTACAGCTACATCTACACTTGGGTTTATGACCACATACCTATGTGTTTTTTTCACAACCCTGACAGACACAGCGATGCTGACAAAACTTTGTAGTGCAGACCTGGCCAAAGTCCTTGTCTCAACAAATGTACGTTTAACTTGTAATTAAAATGTTCATGGTTTATTTTTTTCATCACTCTCCTTCCCCTTGTTTTGCATTTTCAGGCAAAAGAAATGAGCTCAACTTTATTTTAACTGACTGGACAGACTGCTGGAGACTCTAAACTGTTCAAAGACTGAAAACAAAAAAATTTCAGGCATACATTAAAATTCAAACACAATAACATGCTCATTTACAAGTAGAACACAACTGTAAGCAATGGAGCAATTAACACCAAACATCCCACCTAAGCATCTTGAGTAATTTGGAGCATATTATTAAAATGACAGCACAGTAGATTATATGACTAGGAAAAAGATCTGTTCCTTGAGTTTGTCAAAAAACTTCCTGAAGTTGATTGCAACAGAGGGAATTCTAGTACTCCCAATATTGCTAAAACTGGGGAAAATGCACCACCAGTGGAAAATTTTAGATAAAAAAGTTTTGTGTAGATAAGGCCCCAGAGTCACTGTCCCAGTTATCCAATTCTCATTTACACGGTACACACTGTTTTAAATTAAAGCCAAAATTTGGCTTTAGAGAGATAGCAGAGCAAAGATAAAATCTTCATACTTAGTACAGTTTCTCACTTACCACTCCTCCAAAATATTTTCCTATATAGAAATCACTGAGACTGTGCAATTCAAGGTAAGTAGCTCCTAGCTCTTTAGCGAGTTGAATCCCTTCAGAAGCAGTAACACAGCTCCCTCTGTCTGAACTGCACAGTGGACAAGTACAAGGTACTTCTGAGAAAACAAAAGATTTATAGAAGACATTTTAATTAAATAGTCCACTACACATTGGCTTGTAAATACTAGTGAAGATATACATTATATCATAGAATCACAGAATGTAGGGCTGGAAAGGACCTCAAGAGATCAATTCTAGTCCATCCCCCTTGCTGAGACAGGAGTGAGTATATCTATACCATACCCGAGAGGTGTTTGTCTAACCTGTTCTTAAAAACCTCCAATGACAGGGATTCCACAACCTCTCTATGTAACCTGTTCCAATGCTTAACTATTCTTGTAGTTAGAAACTTTTCCTAACATGAAACCTAAATCCCCCTTACTGCAAACTAAGCTGATTACTGCTTCTCCTATTCTTGGTGGGCATGGAAAACAATCCATCACCATCCTCTATATAACAATTGTACACATGTGAAGACGGTTTATCATGACCCCCCATCAACCTTCTCTTCTCCAGACTAAACATGCCCAGCCAGTTCTTTCAACCTTTCCTCGTAGCCCCCATTTTCTAAATTTTTTATAATTGTTGTTGCCCCCCTTGACTATCTCCAATTTATTAACATTTTTCTTAAATAACATATATAGTAAGCAACAAATCAAAGAGTTAACTAATTAATACTGGTACATGCAGTGTTGTTGTAGCTGTGTCGGTCCCAGGATATTAGAGAAACAAGGTGGGTAGGGCAATATCTTTTATTAGACCAACCTTTGCTGGTGAGATAGAAAAGCTTTTGAAAGCTTCTCTCTCTTACCAACAGAAGTTGCTCCAATAAAAGATGTTCTTTATCCCACCTTGTGTCTCCAATACTGGTACATTACGAAATCAAACATTTTCTTGCAAGTCAGAATATTAACTATCTGACACAGACTGAATTTAACATAAAAAAACCCAACAACAACAACAAAAACCCACCACACTAAAAGAATGTGAAGGTTGTGAAATCAAGCACTGAAAAGATAGGAATCATCAGCATTAAAGATGCTTGTGCAAATCTAAATTAGCCCCCATGTGCTATGGAAGTAATTACATGATTCCAGTTATATGTGGGAGAGAAGCAGCAGCCTCATAGAGACTGTTCTGTCCCCTGCAGTGTGCCTGGGGATGCAGGAAACATGTGCAAAGAGGTAAGGGGGAGCATTACCTTTATGGTCCCTTTACTTCCCTGTGCAAGTTTATATAGTGAGTCATGATTGTGTCCTGTGTGACTGTCTGTTCAGAACAGAGGTGGGCAAACTTCAGCCCGTAGGCCACATTCGGTCCACAGGACCCTCCTGCCCGGCACCTGAGCCCCGGCCCCTCCTCCACTACTCCCCCTCCCCTGCAGCCTCAGCTCACAGCGCCGCCGGCACAATGCTCTAGGCGACAGCAGGGCTGGCAAGTTGTATGGGCCCATGGTGCCCAAGCTTCAGCAATATTCAGGGCCTGGGCTCCACCAATGTTTGGGGCCAGGTCTGTCCCCTGGCCCTGCCTGCCACCCTCTCACCCCCGCACCTCCAGAAAAGTGTCCCCTGGCCCTCAGACCATCCCTGCCTCTCCCCTGCAGCTCCACACTGACTCTGCTCTGCAGGCTCTCGGCATCAACTGCCGCCGCAGGGCCCTAGTGTCCCCCATCCCTAGTGGCAGGGCAGGCTGACCCTGACCCTGCCCTTCTGCCTCGGACCCTTCCCTTTTCCGGTGGGATGCTCCACCAGCACAGGGGACCCCCCTGTCCGCAGTCACCACTCCTGCCCCATCCCGGGCAAGGGGCAGCCCCATCCCTCACCCCCAGTGAAGCTACAGTGAGGAGCAGCAGCAGTGGAGGAGGCGCACATGTGATGGCAGCCCCCCCCCCCCACCACCACCACCACAGGGGAAGTGAGGGGGCTTCCTGGACCTGAGAGGGGCCCTAGGACAACGTGCAGTGACAGTGGTGAGTGTGCTGCTGGGGCAGAGAAGAGGGGCCTTCCCCCCAGAGCTCACTGCTGCCGGTGGGGAGAGGACTGGGGGGAGTCCTCCTCTCTGGCCCCAGCCCCGGGGCAGCCTGCCTGCACCCCAAACGCCTCAGCCCCACCCCACCCCAGATCCTGCACCCCCAGCCAGAGCCCTCACCCCCACTTACCCCTAGCCTCTGCCCTAGCCCTGAGCCCCTCCCACACCCCAAACCCCTCATCCCCAGCCCTCATCCCCCCACGCCCTAACCCTCTGCCCCGAGCCCCCTCCTGCATCATGAACCCCTCATCCCCAGCCCCACCCCACAGCTCTCACCCCACCCCTTTGCCCTAGCCCTGAGCCCCCTCCCACACCCCAAACCCCTCATCCCAAACCCCTGCCACACCCCACACAGCCCTTACCCCTGCACCCCCTCCCTCCCAGAGCCTGCACCCCTCACCCCCTGCCCCAGCCCGGAGCCTGCACCCAAACTCCATCCTAGAACCTGCACCTCCACCCCCTTCCCACACACCCTCTCCTTCCCCCAAACTCCCTCCCAGAGCCCTCACCCCCTCCCGCACCCCCACCCCTTGCCCCAGCCCAGAGCCTACATCCAAACTCCATCCCAGAGCCTGCACTGCTCACCCCCTCCAGCACCACCACCCCCTGCCCCAGCCCAGAGCCTGCCCCAGCCCAGAGCCTGCACCCCAGACCCCCTCCCCCACACAAACTCCCTCCCAGAGCCCAACCTCTCACCCCTTCTGCACCCAAACTCCTCCTCAGAGCCTGCACCCCAGACCTCCTCTGCCCCACCCAAACTCCCTCCCAGAGCCTTAGGCAGGTAGAGGCAGAGTTTGGGCACCATCAAGATTTCTACAAACCTGCCACCCTGGGGCAGCGGGGCTAGGATCTCCTGGGGCAGCGCAACTGCAGAGCCCGGCCTGACCCGGTGCTCTGTGCTGCGCGGTGGCATGGCAGGCTCCAGCCAGGCAGTGCGGCTTAGCGCCGCCAGCCACCGGTGCTCCAGGCAGCACAGTAAGGGGGCAGGGAGCGGGGGTTGAATAGAGAGGGGAGTTTGGGAGTGGTCAGAGGGCAGGGAGTGGGGGGTTGAATGGGGGCAGGGGTCCCGGGGGCCAGTCAGGAAGGAGGGGGGGTTGGATGGGGTGGCTGGGGACAGGGAGTCGGGGGGGGGGGGGGGGAAATGAGGCAGAGGCCGGGCCATGCCTGGCTGTTTAGGGAGGCACAGCCTCCCCTAACCACTCCCTCCATACAATTTCCAAAACCTGATGCGACCCTCAGGACAAAAAGTTTGCCCCCCTGGTTCAGAACCTTGTACTTTATTTCCCTGGAACCACTGGTTAATTGAGGAAGGAACAATTATTTTTGCATTAGTCACGGTGGCTTCGCTTTAACAGACAATAGAAAAAACTTCTGTCCATCTATAAACATGTTCTTTCATAACGTATACATCTCACAACCCAAACACTGTCCAACCACCTCAGCAAGAAGCAAATTATGCCAACAATTTTTTTTGCTCCATACCTATTTGAGTCCCAGTTCTGTATTGTGATCTGTTTGAGCAGATAGCTGTGCCTACACAGAGCCCCTCTGAAGTTAGTAGGGCTCTATAAGTAGGGCCTACTAACATCAGAGAGGCTCTGTGTGGCACAGCAGTCTGCTCAAACAGATCACAATACAGGATCCAAGCCTAAACTTAGCAAAATATTGCCTACTCTCCCAATAAAATTATTTCCAAAGCTTATTTTCACTATCAAGAAGAAAAAAAAAAAAAGATACAAAGGTTCAGGGTCATCTGAAGTGATGCATATGTTATGAAACAAATTTATACGAAAAAGTAAAAAGTAAAAGAATTGGCTTAGCCAAACATATAGTTAGTTAAATTAACCCTCACTTCATTATATCGGACAACAACAACTGGAAGAAGAAAAGGAGTACTTGTGGCACCTTAGAGACTAACCAATTTATTTGAGCATAAGCTTTCGTGAGCTACAGCTCACTTCATCGGATGCATCCAATGAAGTGAGCTGTAGCTCACGAAAGCTTATGCTCAAATAAATTGGTTAGTCTCTAAGGTGCCACAAGTACTCCTTTTCTTTTTGCGAATACAGACTAACACGGCTGTTACTCTGGAACAACTGGAAGATTTATCATCCACCTACATTACTCAAGCTCTCATGTTTTACCAGGTCAATGAACTACAAAACCGTTCATAAGGTTTTAAATACAGAATAGCAGCTCTTTTTGGTTCACTGAAGAGAGATACATTCAATTTTGCCAAGGCCTACTTGGGTAATATCTCCACAGAAGTTATATTATAAAATAAAGTTCTTTTGGTTTGATTGTTTAAACAGTATCGACATTGGATAGAAATCTGCTGATACGATCTGCCTCCGAGAATACCCAGTTCATATATCCCTTTTTTTAATTCATACCATGTCAAATTTAAAATGCTGCCCTAAGTAAAACAGATGCAGATTTCTTTAATAAGTCCTGGTCTGACTTTTAAAGTGTATAAAAAAAAAAAAAATCAGCAATACCACAATGCTTGGAAGAAGTATAGAATAAAGAATGAAAAACACCAAACTATCATCATCAAACAAATTTTAAAAAGCCAAAAGAAAAGAAATTTTCCTAGTGTAGGCAGAACCAACACAGTACCACACATAACAAATGCAGTAACGTGTGATCACTGGAGGTCTCCCAGTCCATTACAGGCCACATTTAATTCTGCTTAGTTTGAGAATTTTGAGAAGTTTACACACCATGACTGCAATTTTTAATCACAGTGAAATATTCTGTATTATGTTAAAATTATTTTACTAAAATTATTCTGGTACCCGATGTACCTTTTTTCCCTTTTTAAACACTATACTAGTTTTTGTTTTTTTTATATTGGTACACGGGAACTCTGAAACAGTGATTCTCAACCTGCGGCCCAACCAGCACACAGCTGCGGCCCATGTGACATCCTCAGGGCCATAACTAGGGCAGGGCAGGAGGGTGCAAAAATGGGGCAGCACACCATCTGGCCTTGAGGCATCAGCTCCCCTTGCAGGATTGGGCCCAGAGGCATTAGCAAGAGACCAGGGTGCTTGGCACCCACCTTATCCCACACACTCGCAGGTCCAGTGACCCTGGCTGGAGCAGGCTCCCCGGTACTAGGACCACGGCAGCAGACAGGCAGCATGGGCTGCACAGCTGAGCCACCTGAAGAGGCAGGAGACCAGTGGGGGGGGGAGGGAGACGGGGGGGGGACGACTTGAGGGGGTGCAGGGAGGGGTGCGTGGCCAGTGCATGGGGGAGAGACTCTAGGTTGGGGGACTGGTGGCAGTCCCTGGATGGGGGCTAGATATTGGGGCACAGTCCCTGGATGGGGGAGGGTCTGGAGGGCAATCCCTAGGTGAAGGGCTGGGTTTATCTGGGGCAGTGGGGGACTGAATGCTGGAGGGGGGCCATCGCTGGGGAGGGGAAGGCATTCTGCCCTGGACAGGGCATCCTGTCTCTGCATTATATGGCTGCCATAACACATACTAAAAACTTAAAAAAAAAAGAAAGATGTACAGGTATTTTTATATATATGAATGTGGATGCGGCCCACATAACACAGAGAGCTGCATATGCAGTCCACAATGGTAAATAGGTTGAGAACCACTGCTCTGGAATATAGAGCACACTACAGTTATGTGTTTAAAACAAAACTGATGTCTAGAGGCTCCACAAGATCTTGAGTACAGTCTTGATCTCTCCCCACTTTGTAGTCAGAGGGGTTAGCCCTCCTGTCCCAGTGTCACGCACCGTAACACACTGTAGTTCTTAGTCCCTCCAAGCTAACAGACTTTTAGCTCCAAAATCAGATCCAGAGCTCCTGGTTCAATTCCTGAAGATTATGAGCCATACAGGAGTGTTATTTGAGAGAGATCAAAGCATATCATTAATTTTCATTGTCTTTATTCAACAACAATTTAAAAACGCATAATATTGATATTAAAATTAATCAGTGTCAATCTACAACACCTTAACACATCACATCTTTTTGTCAATGGGACAAACTCTGAAGAAAACAAAAACTTTTTACCATGACTGGACTGAAGATGTAATCGGACTTCATTGTGATTTACCCAACATCTAACTTCAAGGTAATATTTCAGCTGTTTATAATAGGAGATTTAATACATACCGCTTTTTCTTGCGCCAACAGCGGAAATTATGACTGGAATTGAACAATGATTTAATGCTCTTTTTATCATTGGAACATAACTGTCCTTTACTTCTTGAAATGAAGATTTGTCATTTACAGAGTATTTAATCACAATGATATCAGCTCCTCCAATAAGATTTTGAGAGGTGTACCAGTCACTGTCAAAAATGTCCTACAGAGGGGAAAAAAAAATGCATCAAGAGTCTTTTATTATTATTATTATAGGCAAGAGAGTGTCTATACAAATATTCTTGCACACAAAAAAATAGATAAATTACGTTTTTGAACTGACGAGATGCAACAAATAGAAGAGTGGGTTTGTGTTTTGTAATTTCTCTGTATAATTTTCTTGTCTGGGAAACAATTTTTGCACTAATAGTAAGCTTATGAATGCCTCAAATCCTAAGAAAGAACAGCAGTTCAAACTCACAGTATTTTTAATAAGCACTGCATGCAGAAATATACGTTGCTCTTTCAATCATTTAACTTCAAAATTGTATTACTAAGGAAATAAAGCAGTGCCATCAGCTTCAATTGTAAAAGTATGCAGTAATTTCTATGATATTGTTAAAGTACTATAGGATCTTTTTGGGTGGATACACAAACACTTTGCTGCGTACTTACAGAACTTTCAAGGCAAATTTTAAAAATTTACACTGTATATTTCTATTAAAAAGCCTGCACAAAAGATTCTGGTGTATTGACTAACAAGCTACCTATTAAGAGTTTGCAGTTTATAGACTATATAATAACTGTACATACGATCTCTAGTTCTGGTTACAAGAAGTAACTATGGTTACTGATCTATCCTGACACTTATCATAACAAGGTTTACACACTAAAGTTGTTTCATGATTCTAATTAATTACAGCTAAAGAAAACCTCTTCTCTGAAGGCCTATCTACACAGGGACACTCAGGAAAATTAAGGAGAATTAACTAAAGCTGCAAAGTAAACATGCATAAATTAAAACATTAAATCCTGCGTGGATGCTCTCATTTCAGAGGTAAAGTGGCCTTTATTTACCATGCTATAGAGAACTAAGGCCATTTTACTTCTGAATGAGAACGTCTACCTTGAAGGGTTAGACGTGCTTTAACTTGTACATATTAACTTCATTGTTTTAGTTAATTCACCTTACTTTTCCTGAGCCCTGGTCTATTCCACAAGCTTAAGTCAATACAACATCGCTCAGAGGTGTAGATTTTCCACGCCCATAAGCAATGTAGTTATATTGACCTAACCCCTAGTGTAGACAGCACAATGTCAACAGGAGAGCTTCTCCTGTCGACATAGCTACCACCTGTTGGGGAGGTGAATTACCTAAGTTGATGGGAGACGCGCTCTCATCGGCAGAGGTAGTGTCTTCACTAAGCTCTATAGCAGCACAGCTGCAACAGTGCAGCTGCGCCACTACAGTGCCGTAACTGTAGACAAACCCTAAGTATCCCTTTGCTTTAACCTTCCGGAGTGTCCCCATGTAGACAAGCACTGAGACCAGAGAAGCGGAGAGCAGTTGGGCCATAGTAGTCTCGAACACCGTTTGCAACACTTTCCTCTTAAGACAGAGGAGCTAATCAGAATTCCTGTTCAGATGGCTGTTCAAGATTCCTGTTCTCCTGTCTGCAGTGTCCTATACTGCCAATACCTGTTTTGCAGTGTTGCTTTTGATTGGCAATCTATTCTTTTATTTCCATTTTTAGTAGTAAGTTAAAGGATTCTAGATTGCCAGTCTGAAGAGGGAAGTCTGTTTTATCTCCACTCCCTTTCCTTCCCACCCCCCAAAAAACCAAACAGGGTAGGCAGCAGCATAATGAGCTTCTGCACCAATGTTCCTCATTGGTGACCTATAAGGGTCATCTCTAGGTGAATAAGCAGGCAGTTGTCTATATGACATTTTATCTATCCATGCCCTCTCTTCAGAGATTGTCATCCTGGATACTAATCTACTGAGAACAGGGGAATAGTTCTCATATCTTATTTCCTATCTTATGTACCAACCAGTTTAATCTCACAGTTAGCCTAAGGATCACTAAGCTGGAGAACTTCAAAAGTGGTCCCAGGAATATGAGAGCAGCAAAGAAGATCTCCCAACACTCTAAACAGTATCAGGCAGGAGAGGAAACCAGAGAACCACAGGAAGGTGGAACCAAACAAAGCCAGGGATGAAATAAGCCACAAAGCAAAGGAGCAAGGAAAGCAAGGAGCAGAAAATAAGGCAAGGATGGGCAACTTTAAGGTAGCAGAGGGCCACAAAATCCACTAAAACTCTTTGGCAGGCCATACTTTTTTTTTTTTAAATTAAAAGAATCTACATATCTTATAAATCCGAAACGTTTGTATAGTATACGTGTAAACATACAATTAATTGTGTATTAACAGTGTAAAACCAAAGCGTTCTTAAAATATAAAACCCTTCAGAGCACAACCTTCAAATTAAAAAAAAAAAAACCCAAAACCCAACAGTTTACACATAAATCTTTCACTAACCTTTTTTCAATGTGCTGAAGAGCAGGGGATTAATAAATGAAAACAACAAAGTAAAATATTCTTAATGTTTTTTCTCCACTGCCTGGCCATTTTCTTTCATGCCATTCTCTTTCACGTCAAAAGGGAAGGAGATCTGCCACTGTGCCACCCAGCTCTGGTTATTGTCTCCTCACTGGCAGAAATGCTCCCCGCCCCTCAGCAAAGCAGACAATGGGGCTGGGCACAATCATATTGTGGGAGCTGGCAGCCAATTATGTTCTTATCAGACGAAGAGCTTGCCAAGCCAAATGTGTGGCAGTCTCATCAGCAAAGTTCAGAGCCCTCAGACGACCATCAAATATGATCAGAGGGTGGCTGTCAGCATTGAGACACATTGTCTTTGGCCACAGCTTCACATGGGATCCCTTCTTTGGCCCCAGGTGTGAAAGCTGGCTGCACGTTACCCTGGCCGATTCAAAACCTGTTCAGAAGGGCCCATGAGCAGCATGGCAAATCAAAGCCAGATATACACATGGTCAGGTCCGTTACAAGAGGGTAGCCACTGGGAAAGCAGTAACCAGAGCCAAGGGGTGTGGGGCAGAGCCCTGCTCCACCATGAGTGACCGATACATGGTTGGACCAATGACAGGCTGTCATAAACATACAGGTAAGGGTACCATAAAATCCCTCCTTTACCTGTAAGGGGTTAAGAAGCTCAAATAACCTGGTTGGCACCTGACCAAAAGGACCAATAAGGGAAGAAGATCCTTTCAAATCTGTTCTGTTTTTGTGCCTTTTGTTGTTCTCTCTGGGACAGAGAGGACCAAGGCAGAAAAAAAAAAAACCCACACACCTCTCCTAAAACCCTACCAGAAATAAGAATCTACATTACAAAAAATGTAAGTAAAGCAAGGAAATACATTATTTTCCCTATGCTAAGAGGAAGGTTTATTCCTGTTTTTTGTAACTTTGAAGTTTTGCCTAGAGGGGAATCCTCTTTGTTTTAAATCTTATTACCCTGTAAAATTACCTTCCATCCTGATTTTATAGAGGTGCTTCTTTTACTTTTATTCTTTAAAGTTCTGCTTTTAAGAACCTTATGGGTTTTTAGTGTCCTAAAAACCTAAGGGTCTGGTCTGTGCTCACCCTGTTTACCTATTTGGTTGGTATAGGATTCTCAAGCCTCCCCAGGAAAGGGTGTGAAGGGGCTTGGGGGATATTTTGGGGAACAGGAACTCCAAGTGGTCCTTTTCCTGAATCTTTGTCTAGCTCACTTGCTGGTGGCAGCAGTACCATCCCAGGACAAGGAAGGAGTTGTGCCTTGGGGAAGTTTTTAACCTAAGCTGGTAGAAATAAGCTTAGGGAATCTTTCATGCGGGTCCTCACATCTGTACCCCAGAGTTCAGAGTGAACCCTGACACAGGCATTGCAACCCAGAGCATGGGCTCCTGCTCCCAATCCTGGGCTTCACTCCAATTCCCAGAGTCGCAGACTATGGCTCCATCCCAAGCCACCTAGCTCTAGTTACTTCCTCTCTGTTGATAGAGGTGAACCCTACCCTCATCCACCCACTGCTTTGTGGGGGGAGAGGGGCCTGGCCAGAACCTGTGTTTCTTACCTCCCACTCAGCCAGCCACTGAGGAGGCAGTAACTGGAGCTGGGTGGTGTGGTCTGAATCAGTGCCTGTGCTGATGGGGAAGCAAAGTGGTCTGAGGCAGCAGCAACTTTACTAAAAGACATGCCCCTCAGCAACCCAGCTCAATTGGAAAAAAAAAAAATTCTCAGGCTGTGACCCCACCTATGGGCAGGACAAATAAAATGATCTGGCAGGCCAGGAATGTTCCCCAAGCCACTAGTTCAGGGGTGGGCAAACATTTTGGCCTGAGGGCCACATCAGCATTGCAAAACTGTATGGAGGGCCAGGTAGGGAAGGCTGTGCCTCCCCAAACAGCCTGGCCCACCACATCCTGACTGCCCCCCTCAGAACCTCCGACCCATCAACCCTCCCTGCTCCTTGCCCTCTGACCACCTCCTCCCGGGACCCCAACTCCTAACTACCCCCAGGATCCCACCCCCCTGCTCCCTGTCCCCTGACTGCCCCGACCCCTATCCACACCCCCGCCCCCAAAAGGCCCCCTGGGACTCCCACCCCTATCCAACCCCCATTTCCCGTCCCCTGACTGCCCCTGCATGAACCTCTGCCCCATTCAACCGCCCCCCCGGGATCCCCTGTCCCTTATCTAACCTCCCCGCTCCCTGCCCCCTTACCATGCTGCTCAGAGCTGCAGGAGCTTGCAGCTGCCCAGCCGGAGCCAGCCACGCCACCAGTACTACCCAGTAAGAGCGGTGGGCCAGAGCGCTGGGGGCGCAGTATGCTGAAGCTGCGGGGCAGGGGGACAGCCGGGGAGGGGGCAGGCAGCTCAAGGGTGGGGCAGGACGGTCCCGGCCTGTGGGCCATAGTTTGCCCACCTCTGCACTAGTTGCTCATCCCTGAGGTGGAGGGAGGGAAGAAAGATAGAAAAAGGCAGAACAGAGGGCTCAGAAGGAATGGAAAGGAAAAAGAAGCAGTATGATCTGTGAAGGGAGGTTGTGGGAATGACAGAATTGAAAATGGAGAGAAGAGTAATAAAAGGGAAGGAAGGAGAGAAAAGGCAACAAGAGAAAACAGAAGTTAAGAAGTAGGAACAGATGAAAGAGAAAAATCACTACAACATACAGTTGTGACTGCTTTAATTCTAACTGGAATGTATTTTGATAACCTCAAATATATATTTGGTTTTAAAATTGTTAAATTAGTTTGTGAATTAACTGCTATGTTCAAGTAAGTGAAACTATTAGCACTGACTTGACCTAAATATAGCATTGGCAGATATTTGTATAAACTCCTATATAGTTCCTCACATGCACCTCTCGCCCACCTTAGGTAGCAACACTGTTGACATTCCAGTTCTTGGCCATCCCAACTAGAGACCGGCAATCATGCAGAGTTCTGCAATAATCTTGTGCAAGGAAAACTTCCTATAAGTTGGCACCAGAATCCCATATTTATTTTTGTTCAACAATTTACCCGCACAGCTGTGGATCATTTAGGATAAATGCAGCTCAATATGGAGACAAGGTGTCTCACACCTGAGATCAGTCACAAAACACACAGCCAACCCCTTTTCTCTAAATTATGCTGGACTGCATATTCAGATGCCACAAACAGAGCTAATACAGACACAGCCGTAACATTAAAGGTTTCAGAGTAGCAGCCGTGTTAGTCTGTACCCATAAAAAGAAAAGGAGGACTTGTGGCACCTTAGAGACTAACACATTTATTTGAGCATAAGCTTTCATGAGCTACAGCTCACTTCATCGGGTTGCATCCAATGAAGTGAGCTGTAGCTCATGAAAGCTTATGCTCAAATAAATGTGTTAGTCTCTAAGGTGCCACAAGTCCTCCTTTTCTTTTTTGCTGTAACATTAAAGTAGATATTCACTAATATAGATAAGATCAGGTGCATTTTCCAAAAAGAAACTACAGATGGCTGCAGTCTTATTAGTGACAACCAAACATTAAACATCAGCCAATAGTTAGCACAACCATTTACAATCTCTCCAGGCCACTGAGATAAGACATGTGGCAGACAAGACCAGTTGAACAAATCACAAATGTCAACCATCTGTCTTATGCCTGACAATGGCCCTTTTATGTCTAGTCTTAGTCATAAAGGCATGTGAGCAGATTCTTTAGAACTGTTCACTCACTAAATCTGCCAAATCTCCAGCCACCAGCAGGAGTAACTGCAAACTCTCAACCACCATAGACATGTGGCATTGAAGTGGCAGTGTCACCAAATACACCTAGAACCTTCAGCCTGCAGAAGACAGAAGTCCCTAAGGGATCCACCCTTGAAAAAACCACAAATAACCAGAGACAGCCTCAAGCGTAAGCAAAAAATGCTCATCCTACTGTTCTCCACAGTTCACAAAGGGCTTGTCTATACTGGCACTTTACAGCACTGCAACTTTCTCACTCAGGGTGTGAAAAAAAAAAACACACCTCTGAGCGCTGCAAGTTTCAGCACTGTAAAGTGGCAGTATAGACCGTGCTCCCAGCGCTGGTAGCTACTCCCCTCGTGGAAGTGGGTTTTTTTAGAGCACTGGAAGAGCTCTCTCCCAGCGATGGTGCCGTGACTACACGGCCGCATTAAAGCGCTGCTGCTTTAACGTTGCTAGTGAAGACATGCCCTAAGAAACCTCTCACCTGCCCCAGCTGGGAAAGACTAGAGTAGAAGTTACACTGGTAGCATTCCCAGAAGCATGAAGTGGGTGACAACAATATAAGCTGCCACTGCTGTTCAGTCACTGCGATCCTAAGGTCTTCTGAATTCAAGTTTTGGTTGTATTAAGACATCCAAAAAATTCATATGATTGTAAAACTAAAACAAATTCCTGAATGTGTGACCACTCTCTGCAAGCCAGGCAATAGGATGTTCTTCTTATACCATTCTCCATCTACCCACCAACCCGCCTCCCAATTTATCCTACTACTCTCCTATAGCCTCTTAATTAAAGGTTCAATTCTGCAACATTTATTTATGTTGAGCAGCACTTACTCACAGGTCTGGTCTCACTGAAGTCAACAGGACTACACATATAAGGGTGAGAGACTTTCAGACTTGGATCCTCTTTCATCTGAATTTTTTGATTAAAGCAAAATGATTGATCAAAAACACAGGCTACCACTAGAGAACAGAATGCTGACTAACCCAGGTCTTAAGCTACCAATGCTTCATCATGCATTTCTTACACTCAAAACTCCTGTAGACTCCAACAGAAGTTTTGGGTGTGCAAGGAACGCAGTATCAGGCCCCATATAATATTATTAAATTGAAACTAATGAAGTCACCAGATGGAACAAGCATTTGAACAATTAAAAAAAATAAAATAAATAGTGCTCTGAAATAATCACAAAAATAGAAGAGGGTGCGGATTCTCTCACAAAAACAGAGAAATCAGTCCATTATTGCACATAATGGAAAAAAAAAAAAACTGCTAACAAAAGCTAAATTTATAAAACTATCAATTTTTTTAACGCTTTTGATTTAGGAGCTTATTTTCTACACTTGCTCATTCAGTATATTAAACAGGAACCACTAGAAATGAAAATGAGTCCATATACTGTACCTTAGAACAGACCAATCATAAAATTTAAATCAATAATTTTCAAAGAACTGTTGTATCAAAACATTCTGATCAAGAGTGATTTTCAAGCTTCACAAAACATTTGTGTTTTCTTTTGGATTATTTTCATGCAGTTTTCACTGAACAGAGTTGAAAAATACTACCTCCATATAGGTGCAATAGATTAGGACCCTGCTCATGAGGGTCTTTTACTCCTGTTCCTCCAAGAGACTGTCAGTATTTGTTTTGGTGGTTGTATTTTAACATTAGAAGTAAACTTCCAATCTTTTTAAATTAATATTTTGACTGGTTAAAATACCACTAAAGAGCTAAGACCATCAAAATCATTTGAAACAAAAATACCCCCACTGTATTTGGACTGAATTAGGAGTGGCTACAATGTTGATTGCAGAACATAGTTTCAGACTAGTCGCTTACCCAAAGGGGACAGTCATGTACCACCAGTCTGACATTTCCAAACACACAGGCTTGATATTCAGTAAACACAGGATTTCCAACATGGTTTGCAGAGTTCAGCAGCAAACTGCTTTCAGTCGCTGAAATGAGAGCACTTCTCCCAAGATAGGTCCAGATCAGACTTGATTGCTGATTGTCTTCAGGAAATCCATCTCTCTCATTTCCAAAGGCTACAACATGAACAGACCTAAAACAACAAGAAGTGCTGTTAGCGAAGACTGGTGAAGAGGGGAGATGGGGGGGCTAAGAATATACTTTCATATCAAAACAAGAATATTAATCCTTCTCTAGCCTCTTCTTTCACTAGACTAACACCCCAGGAGTCAACAGTGAGTTACATATATGATCTCAAATCCAATAGCTGAAGTGGAAAGGAGTGCTTTATAAATCACCAGCTTGTTTGGCTTTTTATTTGTCCATTTCCACATGTAGCTTCACAGATGTAACCTCAACGATTCCTGTCACATATTCAGTGGCTTTGGTGTGTTTTCAATGCTCTAACCTCCTGTTCAGTCCTTCAGCCCCTGCAAGTCAATGAATGTAACTGCATGTGACAGTAGCAGGACAAGCCCTTGCTATTAATCTGCTTCTGTTGTAGGTGAATTCAGCAAATATCCTCAGCAGCAGGCAGCCCCAGGCTCAGCCGTCTCCTTACGTCAACCCTACCCAAGGGCATAATTCATACAATGGAGAGACTTGACATTTCTGCAGAACCAACATAATGTGGCCAGGTCAGCAAAGAAAGACAAAGGCTCTTCAGCAACAGCACATTCGACTGCATGGAAGGGAGCTGATTACATGGCGTTCTTCTGTGGCAGGGTGGGGGGGGAAGAGAGAGAACAAATAAATATATGAGCTCACTGCCATCCAATCTGTATGAAGACAGCCTTCTGAACTATGAAGATCCTACCCAAGTAAGAGAAGATAAATGAGAGTAGCCCCCGCTAAGGAAAGGCTGCAAAAAGAAAAATGAAGTATGAAAGGCTGAATCTTTCTACTTAAGCAATTCAAACCTTTTACTTGTATAAAAGTATTTTTAACAGTTGGCTGATAGCTATAGAAAATCTAAAAGTATGTTTCAGTGCTAACGTGCTGTTAAACCCCATTTTCAAAGGGCCAATTTTTAGGTCTAATAAAAAGATGCAATATTTTACCTGTGTGAAGAGGCATATTTTTTCATTTTAGACTGAATCTAATTGGCAATGGTTTCTACCAAATAGCACTGCACATATTATGGTCTAAACACATGGGGGAGTGGGGGGGGGGGAGTTGGTGTGAGAGTGTAAATAATAAGGTAAATATAAAACTGGCTATAGGAGGAAATTCTCCGCTCAGTTTGGCTAATGTAAGCCAAAGAAAAAACATCAGATTACGTGGAATCACTCAAACATGATCATTCACAAAATAACCAATGGAATCATCAACAAAAACGCTCCCACTGCAGAATCTGGATTATTTAAAAAACACTAATGCAAAATTAATAAAAAACAGAAAACTGTATATGAGATACTAAATATAAATATCACTACACATGTTTCATACCAGTCAATTGTGAATATCCATACTGATTGGCTGGACCATTTTTATAAACTTCAGTGTCTGACCCTCTGCACTGAAGTCAATGGGAGCATTGCCAATGACTTCCAGAGGCACAAGATCAAGCCCTCACATATATGAAATACACATATATGACAAGACCAAAAAATATTTAATACCTATTATAGCAATGAAATAAATTCTAAAAATCTTTCCTCCTATTTTAATAGCTTTTATAAACTATAAATATTAGACTTTTACAGCAAGAGAGACCAAATGGTAGTTTTCTCAAAAATTTCCTCTCTTTTGTCCCACTTCCCAGTTTCCCCCACTGCAATTAACTTTGGCTTAGGAAGCTGAAAGACCACTGATGTAGTTTCCTCTTTGAAGTCTCGTTGCCCTTTCTTGGCAGTTCTTCTCAAGGGAGAGAATTTAAAAATGCACCACATTTCTCACTTGGCCCTCAAAGTGGTTGGCAATGTCACCTAATACACCCTTCATTAGTAGAGAGTGATGCTGGATAAAAAGTCAAGTGAGTTAGTGCCAAAACAATGCTTCGACTGTGTCCATTAATCCACTTACATAAAAGTAAGTAAAAGTAGCCTTTGGAGACTGAAGGTCTGAACAGAAGAGCTGGGGTTTGCAACATACTAGACTACAGTAGGACCAAGGTTGGGGAGGATGTTTGAGTGGAATGTTTCCTGTAACCATACATTTAGAAGCATGAACTGTGAATAACCAAGAACTCTGAAAATGGGTGACTATGAGAATAACCCTGAGGAAAGATAACTGTAATATGAATGAACCAGAACCACAGAAGATGACTGGGTTTGAGACTATGACAGGTTGTGTGAATAAAGTACTCCCCCAAAAGGGTGAATTTAATTGACCTGAAGTCTTGTTTGGCATGTGGGCTGTAAAGATTTTCTACATTCTGCTTAAACAGTGCAGCTCAGTCATTTTTGAGCACTGGGTCCTGGGTTTAAAAGGGAGGGAGAAGGAACTGGATGGTCTAGAGCAGGATGACCAGCGGGAACTCTCATTGTCCACTCCCCTCCCCCAGAAAGAGTAGAGATTACAAGCAAAATATATTACATTTTGTCTGTATTATCTTTTCCATGGAGGTCATTATGCATTGGGCTGCCTCCTTCAAGGTGACTTCCTTGTGCAAGCACAGCTGAGGAATTCCCTGGCAGTACAACTTCAAGACAACAACACTGCCAGGGTCTGGGGGAGAACTGTCATAAAAGAGAGTTGCTATAGAGCAGAGGTGGGCAAACCATGGCCCGCAGGATGGTCCTGCCCGGCCCTTGAGCTCCCGGCCCGGGAGGCTAGCTCACAGCCTCTCCCCCACAGCGCCACGAGCACTCTGGGCCGCCACTCTTGCTGGGCAGCACAGGCAGCATGGCTGGCTCCGGCCAGGCTGCGAGCTCCTGATGCTCTGAGCAGCATAGTGGGGGGGACGGGGACGGGGGACTGGGTAAGGGGCAGGGGGTCCTGGGGAGCAGTCAGGGGACAGGGAGTGGTTGGATGGGGCTGAGGGGGTCCCAGAAGGGGGCGGTCAGAGGACAAGGAGCTGTGGGGGGGGGGCGGGTTCGATGGGTCAGGGGTTCTGAGGGGGGGGCAGTAGCCAGGCTGTTTGGGGAGGCACAGCCTTCCCTACCTGGCTCTCCATACAGTTTCACGATGCCGATGTGGCCCTTGGGCCAAAAAGTTTGCCCACCCCTGCTATAGAGACTCAGAGCTTTGGACACCGCCCTAATCTCCTACAGACACTTGGAGATTCATTGATTTCGGTAATCCCTGCTGGGGGAACAAGTTCCAGCACCCAATGAAACAATATAGTAGAAAATGTTTAAGGGAATCTTTCCTGAGTTTTCCTCTGCGATCCCATTACATGGGTTTTTCTACAGGTGTGGGCTACCCAATGATCTGTCACAAAAGCTTCATTAAAATTTTAATATTGTAAATAATATTCACACATCCTGGTTGTTTAGGTTTCATCAAACACGTACTTATGATCTAACATATGAAATCAGTGAAACAGTGGTTTTGAATAAATACAACTTATTTACATGCACGCATTTTAATAGTCTCATTTAAGGGAAAAATTTACTCCTTTCCGGACAAAGCCTGGGTAATTAAACTTTGTGTAAGGAAGTTGGCTGGGGTTGACTCTAACAGAATCTCTCCTTCCCCACCACGTGCGTAGGTCTAACAGATTCTGCCCCGTGGGCTGGAATAATGGTACACACCCTCTCCATGTCCTTACACAGAGGTTTGGGCCTTTAGATCTTCACCTGGCAAGCCACAACATTTCCTTCCACTCCCACCTATTAAACAGTGGCAAGAACTTTAACTATGGAGAAGTCTATCTCCAGTATTCCACTAAGCTAAACAGGTACTTTTCCTGCACAGCAAGTCATCTGTTCCCCAAGTCAGAAATCTCAGACTGCCTGTCACTAAATTCTGCTGAAGAAGACTGACCCCTACTCATCTTACACATACCTTCCTCCTCCTTATAGGACAGGGGTAGGCAACCTATGGCATGTGTGCTAAAGGCAGCACGCGAGCGGATTTTCAGTGGCACTCACACTGTACGGGTCCTGGCCACCAGGTCTGGGGGCTCTGCATTTTAAATGAAGCTTCTCAAACATTTTAAAAACTATTTACTTTACATACAACAATAGTTTAGTTATATATTATAGACTTATAGAAAGAGACTTCCTAAAAACGTTAAAATGTATTACTGGCACGCGAAACCTTAAATTAGAGTGAATAAATGAAGACTCGGCACACCACTTCTGAAAGGTTGCCAACCTGTTATAGGATGACAAATTAGCTCCTCTTTCTGTAATGTAACTGACCATTTCCTATTAACATGGGCATACAAGACTAGGCAGAACATTGCTCAAGGCTTCCATTTAAAGCAAAACAAAACAAAAAACCCACACACAAATATATACATAGTAGAAATCTGAACTTTGCAAACCACAGATGCTGAATTTAATCCTTGTGGGTCATATACTAGATCTGAACTTTGTCTACCAATTATCAAATACTTTTTAACTGGCTCTTCTCTCTTGTGTTTTTATTTTTCATTTCAGGCCATAGAGATATTGCACTACCCTACAGTGTGATGGGAGCCACATAATACAGTAGTGTCTCTTGGACCCAAAGATTTTAGCAGGACGTAGAAGAGTCCACACAGAAAAGGTTCAAGAAAAAAAAGATTTATATTTATACATATTGCTTATGTGCAGTGAGCTAAACAAGCTCATTGCTATTACCGGATTGAACTGCCACAAAAGGTCCAGAAGTCCTTTGTAAAGATTCTGTATTATGATTAAATATGTATTTATCATTATCAGGTCCAGTTAAATGTTAGAACTGTCATCTGCCATGTAAAGTTACCAGGAGGACATGAATTTCAAACCAGGAATCTTGAATACTGATGCACTATGCACAGGATAAATCCATTTTACACAACTACATGCTCTGCTATGGTAAATTAGCAGCTATCATAGCAAATGAGGTACACTACATTAATATCCTAAACGAGAGATGCAAAATCTTACTAGCTCTAGTACATACCCCTCAAAGTGCAGGATTGTTCTCACTGTTTAGAGAATAATCTGGTTTTCTGTATAATATCATTGTTCTCCAAGTTCTCATGGAAGGGATGCAATATATTACACATTAAATGAATCTTCTGAAAGTATATTGATAAATGCAATCAGCATACAGAAGATTTGGATTATTTTACAGTGTTTTAAGGAAAAATGCATAAATCAAAACTACTATTTATTGCATCCTTTTTAAAGGAAGCCTCCAACCACACATTTTCATACTAGCAATCTGAAAGTTCAAAAAGCATTTAAGTCCATGTACTATGAATGTATTTGAAAATAATGTTTATAATCACAGGTGGTGTTTCTAACCCTATTGGGGACAATATCATCACACTAAAAAGTAATGAAATGTTACCTATGTGAGATTTAAATCTGTTTCATATTGGTTATGCCACAGCATTCAGAGACCCTTTGCACTAGACATTGTTCTATTTTAATGCCGGTTTGACAATAAGAAGAAAAATTTTATGTTTAGTTTTGAAAAGTTATTTATGTAGGATGGAAACTGTCTACCTTGTTAAATCCAAAACCCAATTTCTTCAGCGGTAGTGAGATTGTGTACTATATAAAACTCAAACTGAGAAAATACCTGCTTCATACTAATCAATGTCTTACACTGTAGGCAGTAGCCCACGAAAGCTTATGCTCAAATAAATGTGTTAGTCTCTAAGGTGCCACAAGTACTCCTGTTCTTTTTGCAGATAGACGAACACGGCTGCTACTCTCAAACCTTACACTGAAAAACACACTTGGCATCTCTGTCACACAGTCATGTCAAGCTATTCAGTATGGCAACAGTAGCAAACAATAAATCAGAGTATTTAGCTGAAAAAAGAATTATAAAGGGGATCACTCTGTTTGGTATTTTGCAGCTATAGGAATTGAGTATGCCACGAACAATGAACATTGCAACCAGGAGACACTTGTTACAGCTGCCAGATGAAAGAAATTGTAAAACACTGCGCCAGTCTTTGGCAGAAGTCAGAAAACAATGACATATCTGATATCAGTGACATTTAAACAACAGATCATCAAATTGTCTCAAATTATTTCTGCTGATGTATCCACTGGAAATCTGTCAGACAAAAAGATGAACAGGGACAGATGTTCTTGGTTGCTGATGAGGAGAAAATACTTGGTTTTGAAGACGAAAAGGAAAGTACAGCTGAGTCATGGATGAAGACTTCATTTTCCTAGAGGTGCTGGTGTTACCTGTGTCTTTCAGCTATGACTTTTAGCCTCCTTTACTGCAGAGAAGACGGAGCTTGGTGCACTCGGTTAGTGTGTGATTCGACAGGAATTCAGAAGAGCTGATAGTTCTCCTGGTTATCTGATCCGGCATTCTTTATGCACACAGAGCTTCCACTGATGTCAATGGGAGCTTTGGGTGTGCAAGGAATGCAGACAGGTAAAGATTCTCCAAAACATTTAAAAGAGAGAAGCAGTGAGAAAGCATTTCAGATTACACATTTATTAAATCATCATTAAACATGGCTCTCTTTTTCTTAATGAAACAAAATAAAAGCTTACATCAGGCTTGGTTTTACGGAGCCTGCCATCAGGAATGTTCTTCAGCTATAAGATGTGTCATAAACCAAGCGGCAGCCTTTCCTCGCTTCAGACAAGTATTGACATAAATGTCCCCAACTGCAAGTCAATATTTTGAACACTAGAGCTGGAGAACTGAAATAGCATCATGAGTTAAAGCTCTGTAAACCAGGAGTAACTCCATGCACATCAATGGAATCACACCACTGAAAAGCCCAGCAGAGTGGAGTCAGGTCTGGTGCACCTCCCACCTTTGTTAAACACATACACAAAAAAACCCAGATTGTTTTAGTACGCTGAGCAAAACAGCCCTACCTCAAACCACCCACCCCCCCAAAAAAAGAAAACAAACCCCACACCAGAGCAACAGCAATGCCAGAGCCAGAAACTCTTCACAAGTCTGGCCCAGATTATAGGGGCCAGGGGCGCTGTCAGCTCAGGAGAAGGGCGAGGTCCTGAGCCAGCAGCCTGGGTATGGTAAAAGCAGGAGGTGGGCTCCTAGGCTACAGCCCTTCCCCACACAGCTTCACCCCACCCCGCGCCTCTAGGGCCCTAGCCATCCAGCGCACTCGACAGGCCAGCCTGAAGCCTCTGCCCGAAGCCTCATGGGCCAGCGGCGCGGCGAGGCTGCCACAGGGGCTTCGGCAAAGCCTGGGCCAAGGCGACGCGGCCCGCGTCAAACCCGAGCTGCCAGGCAGCCGAACTTTCCCCGCCTGCGCCTTAAATCCTTCAGTCCCCGTCCCTTCTGCGGGAGGCGCCCGAGCACCGGCGACTCAGCGAGCTGAGCCCAGGCACTTCGCCCCGGCTCTCCCGCGTCCCCTATTTTACCTGCGTGGTCCCAACACGCTGCTGCGTGGCAGGGTCCTCGGGGCAGCGAAAAGCCGCTCGGCCGCAGAACCCGAAACCGCCGCGCGCTGCGGGCGGGGAATCGCGGTCCGTTCTAGAGCATTCTCTGCCCCTCGTCGCGCTCTTTCCCTCTCTTTGTTCTGGCCGTTCAGGTTACTGGGCGCCTGCGCGCAGGCGCACAGGTGGCCTAATTCGCGCAGCCGCACCGCTTATTCCTTCAACCGCCGCTCTCCCTCGCGCTGGCGTCGCGGAGGTGTTGGTGTCAACAGCTGCTCGGTTCCCGCCGCTGGGGCGCTGAGCCGGGCCCCGGGTTTGTAGCGAAACATGCTCCGTGCCCGGCTCGCGTGCGGCGGCGGCGTCCTGCTGAGGCGGCCGGGGCCTGTTGGGCGCCGCGGGTACTGGCGGACCGTGGGGCTGACCGAGAGCATCATCTCGGAGCTGGACACGGACCATCACTTCGTGCACAGGAGCACGATCCCCACCATGCACTTCCAGGACAGCCTGCCCAGGTGCTGCCCCGGGGCACGGCGGGGAGCCCGGACCCTGGACGCCCGAAATGGGGGAAGAGTCAGCAGCGAACTCTCGGGCAGACTCTGGACAGCCTCCCTGCTCTGATGAGGCTGAGGCTCCCCGCACTTCTTCACCCGCCCGTCCCCCCCTCCCCCACTCTACAGCAGGGTTCTCAGCCAGGGGTCCAGGCCCCCTAGGGGGCCGTGAGCAGGGGAGATCCACCAAGCAGGGCTAGCACTACACTCTCTGGGGCCCAGGCATCTGAGTCCTGCAGTCTGGTGCTGAAGCCATAGCCTGAACAATGTAACGTCAATGGGACCCTGTGGCACGGGGCCCCAGGCAATTGCCCTGGCTGCTACCCCATCACACTTGGGCTGGCTTTTATATGCAGAAAACCCATTATTGTGGCACAGGTGGGCTGTGAAGTTTTTATAGCATGTTGGTGGCGCTTCAGAAAGAAAAAGGTTGGGAACCCCTGCTCTAGAGAGCCAGTGCATGGGCTGGACCTGGCGTCAGCACAGGCCATCCTGAGGTCCACTTGCAAACACTTGGCAAGAGCACCTATGCTCTGAGACTGCCCTGGAGTGCAAGCTTGTACTTGCCCTGGAGCTGCAGAAGTGTTCACGCTGCACCCTAGACATGAGCCCTTCCCTACTCACTGCCTACCCAGTAACCTGAACGGCCAGAACAAAGAGAGGGAAAGAGCGCGACGAGGGGCAGAGAATGCTCTAGAACGGACCGCGATTCCCCGCCCGCAGCGCGCGGCGGTTTCGGGTTCTGCGGCCGAGCGGCTTTTCTGCTTCTTCCCTGCAAGGGTTGTTGTTTGCCTACTTTACTGTCAGCCTTTGTTTAGAGCAACTCCCCACTGAATAATGACAGGTTTCAGAGTAGCAGCCGTGTTAGTCTGTATTCGCAAAAAGAAAAGGAGTACTAGTGGCACCTTAGAGACCAACCAATTTATTTGAGCATAAGCTTTCGTGAGCTACAGCTCACTTCATCGGATGCATTCAGTGGAAAATACAGTGAGGAGATTTATATACACACAGAACATGAAAAAATGGGTGTTATCACACACGCTGTAAGGAGAGTGATCACTTAAGATGAGCTATTACCAGCAGGAGAGCGGGGGGGGGGGGACCTACAGGCCAGTCCTTGCCTACAGACAGCCCCCAACCTGAAGCAAACACTCACCAGCAACCACACACCACACAACAGAGCCACTAACCCAGGAACCTATCCTTGCAACAAAGCCTGTTGCCAACTGTGTCCACATATCTATTCAGGGGACACCATCATAGGGCCTAATCACATCAGCCCCACCATTAGAGGCTCGTTCACCTGCACATCTACCAATGTGATATATGCCATCATGTGCCAGCAATGCCCCTCTGCCATATACATTGGTCAAACTGGACAGTCTCTACGTAAAAGAATAAATGGACACAAATCAGATGTCAAGAATTATAACATTCATAAACCAGTCGGAGAACACTTCAATCTCTCTGGTCACTCGATTTCAGACCTAAAGGTCGCAATATTAGAACAAAAAGACTTCAAAAACAGACTCCAAAGAGAGACTGCTGAATTGGAATTAATTTGCAAACTGGATACAATTAACTTAGGCTTGAACAGAGACTGGGAGTGGATGTGTCATTACACAAAGTAAAACTATTTCCCCCACCCCTCACTGCTCCTCGGACGTTCCTGTTAACTGCTGGAAATGGCCCACCTTGATTATCACTACAAAAGGTTCTCTCCACCCCACCCCCGCCCCAGCTCTCCTGCTAGTAATAGCTCATCTTACGTGATCACTCTCCTTACAGTGTATATGATAACACCCATTTTTTCATGTTCTGTGTGTATATAAATCTCCTCACTATTTTCCACTGAATGCATCTGATTAAGTGAGCTGTAGCTCACGAAAGCTTATGCTCAAATAAATTGGCTAGTCTCTAAGGTGCCACTAGTACTCCTTTTCTTTTTCCCCACTGAATGCATTTGCTCCCTACAAAGGTGATGAGAGTCCCAGAGCAGAGACGGAAAACTGAGTGGGATGGCTGTGTAAAAGGAGATAACGTCTCCCTCCCTCCCACAACCTGTCTCAGAAGGGTTGAGTAAGGGCAGAACTAAAGGCCTTAGCACATGCACATCTTCCCCATTGGAAAACATAGAAACTTCCATGCTGGATCAGACCAATGGATTGGCTATCTAGTCTAATATTCTGTTTGACTGTGGCTAGTACAAAATATTTCAAAAAATGACTTCCCTCCATAGATAGTTAAGAAATAATCTTCCCATTAGGAATAGCCCCCTTCCGAGTTCGATTTAGTGGTTGCCAATGCCTTGGTGCTTGAGAGTTTACATCCATTATTTTTAAAAAACAAAACACCTATTTATTTGTTTTACTCATCCATATAAATGCAGTAGTTTTTCAGTCCTTACTGAGGTGTTGGCCTCTATGGGTATGTCTACACTACAGTTAAAAAACCCACAGCTGACTTGTCAGCTGACCCGGGCTAAGGGGCTGTTTAATTGCGGTGTAGACGCTCATACTGGAGCCCATGCCCAAGCATCTATACTGCAATTAAACAGCCCCTTAGCCCAAGCCCCACAGGCCTGAGTCGGCTGACATGGGCCAGTCATGGATGTTTAATTGCAGTATAGATACACCCTGGGATATATTGTGTAAAATAGTATTTCCTTTTCACTGACCTGATTCTCTTTCAATGGAAAAATATAACCTTTTCTTAAAAAATGAATTTGCTGACTAGTGTGGAATGTAATTACCACAATTACCAAGAGACTAACATTATGGGACCAGTACTTACTTGTTCCCCTTTATCCCCGCCCCCCCCCCAATAATGCCGTAGTCAGGTTAGAATGTATAGGTCTCCTTGCTCTGTGATGCTACACAGGGGGCAGAGTTTTATTAGGCATTGCTGAAAGCTTAGATGCCTACTCTGCATGTTTAAGAGTGATTATTTTCAATTTTTAAATGTTATCAAAGTTGGCGAAGGAACAGTTCCTTAAGTAGGACAAGCCCCGTGCCCGCTTTGTAGGTAGTTGTGTTCACCATGTTTTAATGATTAGTAACCAAAAAGAGTAAATAAACCAGGAACGCTACTACAACCATACTGGCCACTCCTGTAGCCTGCAAGCAAGTAGGGCCAGCTTAAGTTTAAGGCATATGCACGGTACACCCATGCCTAGATATTTGGCTCTTTGATATATGTGATGGTATCAGAATATCAGCTTTAATAAAACAAAAAATCATTTTCAGCCCTCATAATTGTAAAGAAAATCTTGAAAACACAAACTATGTAACTACTTGAGAGATGCCTATTTGATGCATTCTCTCTTGCTTTTAAGAGAGCCTAATTGTGAGATGGAAGAACTGCCCCATTCACCTAAATAGGGAGCTAACTGTGAAACATGCTACTTTGGGCAGGGAGGTCCTGCTAACACTATCCCAACAAAAGAATCAGTGTGTAGAGGCCTTTACTGATACCACCTCATTGTGACTCTGCTAGGATGCCGTCAGAAGGGGACTTTGGACAGAGGACTGGGTATAGGCACAGTCAAGAGTGCTCCAGGACAAACCCCAGCCTCCCAGAAGGGATAATGTTGTGATCCAGGGAAGTGGGAGTCCCAGCCTGCCCAATTGGAATGGTGGGCCACCCACCAGTCTCATGTATAGGTGGTCCCGTCCACTCCCCCCTACCTCATTGTGGGGGGTAAATGGGAGTGGCAAGGGCCACCTATACTATATTTTTACTTCATTTCATGACTGGTGCTTGTGTATGGGTAATTACATTTTGCAATAATGAGACCTTGAAACTTTGTACACTATTGAGCAAGTCCTGTTGTGGTTTGTGGGGAGGCCAAAGAGAGGGTTTCTGCAAATACCATATGCAATGGAGCTCTGTGGCATTTCACTCTGCAGATGTTGTACGTTAGGTCAATGGGCCCAAAAACGTAACCAGAGGATCATAACAGGTCAAGGATGCTCCTATTGCCTGCAGGACCAGATTAAAATAGTCCAGGACTCTAGCCATATCCCTGCATGGGACTCCCCTTGACCCAGCCCCAGTAAGGTGGCAAGGTCTCATTATTACAAAATGTAATTATCTATACACAAATACCAGTCATGCAATGAAGTAAAAATATAGTATAGATATTGGAGATTGTACCCAGATAAGTAAACTATGTAGTGGTTAACAAAATGAAATTAGTATTGGTTAACAGTTCATAAAATGGGATGTTCTCTCCAGGAACAATTATAAAGGCTTTTGGTTTAAAATGTAATTCTTGCTTTTTTATAAAAATGCATTTGTTCAGGGCTACAGTTATAATTTTATTATTGTGTGTATTATTGTAGAATCTAGGAGCCCAAGTCATGCAGTATAAACAGAAGAAAAACTTACTATCTGAATAATTGGCGATTTCAGCACAAATCTCAAATACGTTTTATAGTCACAGAATTATTTGGGATTACAGCCTCATCATTTAAAAAAATTATGTATACAATACATAAATCCATCTCTTGGATGGGGGAATCTATGCCTTAACTTCTGTCTCCATTCTTTTACTTCTCTTTTCCAGATTCCTACTACTTCCCCGATTCCCCCAGGTTTGCTGTCAGTACAGCATTCACCTCCCATTCAAGAGACTTTGATTAGTCACATAACGTAATTCATGGGTGCACCGCAACACATTTTTTTCATGGATTTTAATGTTCTTGTT